GCACAGTCGAGATTATGACCAACATTAAGGTCCCGGCCTCCTCCCATCACTAGACCTAAAAGGAGAGGCAATGTCCAGATGCTCACAGAGAACTCTAAAAGGCCAGAGGGAGTCAGAAAGGAGGCAGAGCAGGGGCAAAAAAAGGAGAAAGGATGAAGACAACAACAGAATAAAACAAGAACAGCGGTGATTTATGCCAGGGTGAGGCAGTGCACAGGACGGAGCTGGCAGGCGCCGTTCAGAGCACCTCTCCAGGGAGCCGTCGGTGGTGGCTGGCACCCCACCAATGTCTGGCTATTAATAAACCCTCCCACAATGGGAGGAAGTGCTCACAGGCAGGGCACAAGAATGTGGACTGTGCAGCAATCACTGCGGGGCGATCCCAAGCTAGGCTAGGCGCCGGAGCATAACAAGTTTTTCCCAGAAGGCAAGTGGCTGCAGGTTTTGTTGTATTTTCTTTTAAACCTAAGACCCAGTACCATACACTTCACCATCCTGCTGATCACAGTGAAGATGACCGACGGCCGCCTCACTGACCACAGAGCCAAAAGCCTGTGTATGCAGACAACACATGGCTTTGCTGTGAAGGCAGCAGGCAGCTGGCGCCCTGTGTGTCCATCCAAGAAGCCCAGGCCGTGTCCTTCTGTGAGAGAGGGGCAGTTGTTCTGTTCGCCTGTAAGGCAACAAGTCACACGGCCCGCACGACTGGGCTTCCTAGAGGTCTGCACATTCTCCTTCCACAGCAGGGCCCCAGCCCTGCACCAAGATGGAGTCACAGCTGATGCAGCCCCGCAACAAGGCCTGGAGCAGATCTCAGACACCCCACAATCAGACAGCGACAAAAGGCCTCAGTCTTAGCAACCAGGTCAAACGCTGCTGCTACTTTTTGTTTTGTTATCTGCCCCCCTATCTTTTCCGGGATTTCAAGCAGGAAGGGAAGGGGAGGAATAAACACTTCGAAGGTCCTAGGTAAAGGATTGTGAGCTCCTTTAAACAGAGCAACTCTGGAAACATCTTAACCAAACGGTACAGTCATAGCTGAGCCGGAGCCTCTTAGAAGTGGTTAGCAGAAGTGCACGGGCACAGAAGCAATGGGCAGAGGAGTCTCGGCGTGGAGGCGACACCTGGGCTCTTTCAGGACAGGCCAGCAAAGCGCGCTTCCTCCGTCTGCAGCGGCCCCCAGCAAGTTTGCCAAACACCGCCTGCCGCTCCGACTGGGGTGGGCGCCTCCTAGGGGTCTCCACCGGTATGGCCGGCCCCAGCTAAATTGTCTTACTACTTTTGGAAACGCTAGTTCGCAGCTCAGGACTTTAGCAAGCAGGGACATCTGACTTCTTTAATAGACATCAGTGACATTTCTTCATTTTTGCAGCGTCTGAGGCCTCAGACACCAGGAATAGGATTTTCCTGTAATCAGGTGCTCTTAAATAGGAAAACTGCCTTCCGAGTTACTGACAGCAAAGAAATTTATCTCTGCTTGGTGTCAATAAACAGCATGCAAACTTTGCAGGGAGGGGTTCTAACTTTTTATATGCTATGGGCAGTTCCTAGCATAGTTTGGGAGCTACAAAAAAAGTTTTGTTTTTATTTAAGGTGCTGGGATGGAGGCCAAGGGCCTCATACATGCTAGGCAAGCATTCTACCACCGAGCTACATCCTGGCTCTTATCTTGGGACAGGGTCCTGCTAACTCTCCAGATTTGAACTTGTGATGCTCCTGCTTCAGCATCCCAACCCCAAGGAGCTGGGATTAGAGGCATCTACCGACTGCCTGGCTGAAGAACAAAGCACTGTTTACACACAGGGCTGTGACGGGGCTGCTGCATGTGGTGTGTACAGAGGGGCAGAAGGAGGGCTGGGGACAGGGGTGGGGATGCTGCGGCAGGAGTCTGACTGGACGCACGAGACCTTGAAAGGTCCAATACCAGGTGACCACAGGACAGTGCGAGGGAGGCTGCTGGCAGCAGGTCACAGGTGGGCAGTCAGGAAGGCCGAAGATGCCACATGCTCTTGGGTTGCGCAGGATTCTGCGGATCCAGTCTCCACGCCAGCCCCCCTTTTTCCCGTATTTTGAGAAAGGGTCTTAGTCGCTCAGTTCCCAGGCTGGGCTTGAGTTTGGGATTGTCCTACCTCACCCTCCCACAGTGCCGGGGTGCAGCACACTGGGACATCTTACCAGTGTTTTCTAAACGTCAGTTCCATAACTGTGTACCGAGCATCTAGCGGCGCTGTGCACTGGGTGAGGGTTAAGAAAGTGGAATTCGAAATGGCGACTAGGTTCTCAACGTGCCTAGGAACTTTTATAAGACTCCACTGAGTAAGAGTGGGAAGGGCAGAACACAGTCCTCAGCTTGGCATGGGGTTGTAGCGCATTTTCTGAGCTGGAGTTCGAATGCCAAGCAACGCACCGGTAACAGAGTGTGTCAAACCAAGGCTGCCCTGTAACCTCCAGGGCTGTCCCATCTGTGGGAGCTCATGGCAAGCGGAGGGACACCAGCCAGCTGCCTTGGTTCCGTTCTAAGGCAAGCGCCGGGTTTCCCGAGTGGAGGATGTGAAATGGAGCCCAGGGCGCTCCCCACAGCCAGGCTTCCCCCACCCAGTCCAGGAAAGACTGAGGGGCAGCAGGCAGGAGCCCCAGAGTGGGAGGGCTCCTCTCCTAGAAACTCCCTCCGGCCTGGAGGGAACCTTCCTGCCCCGGCCCCACCCTCCCGTCCCCTGTTTAGTCACAGGGCGTAGGCGGGGGCATCCCCAGGAGCCTCCACCTTGGCACAAAGAGATGTTTTCCAGGCTTGAACTTGCAACGCTCCAAAGAGGTTGCCCTGCTCCCTGGTCCAGGCCTGGGGCCTCCTCTTCACCCCACCTTTCTTCCCACCAAGCTGAGCAGCAGCAGAAAGGGCTGAGGGGACGAGACCCACAGCTGTAGCCATTCTGCAGAGGCCTGAACTGCCTCTATCAACTCCTGACCACCGCTGTGTGGGCCCCCACCACTAAGTTATTGAACACTTGAAAATGGCTTTGCTATCTTGGGAGAAAGATGCTTACCAGGCTTGATCAAAATATATAGGGAATTTTGAAAGAAATACTACAGTGAAGACACGTTTCCATTAATTCTCCTCAAAACACTTACACCCCTGATCTTGCCACTTTCAGGTGCAGTTCTGGAGTCCTCTTTCACGAGTGTCTTACAAAGTGTGATCAAAAATACAATGAACGAGTCCCATCCAAAGGAAAGGCAGGTGGTGAAAACATGATGGTGCCCCCCACCGCCTCATTCACTTCTGTGCAACTCTGGCTTTTCCCGAAAGTCAGAAAGACCATGACAGGTAATGGCTCAGAATCGATTCAGGACACTGAAGTAGCAAACTACAGACACTCAGGAAAGAGGATTTCCAGAGCGGCTTCAGAAAGGGGCAGAAATGAAGGGATAAGTGTGTTCGAAGTGAGGGAGATTAGTGACAGTGTGTCTTCTACTGTAGTATACCTTTTAAAAGTTTACACATCTACCACATTTTTCAGTCACACCACGTACATCTTTGGTGTAGGGGTGGATTTGGCAGGATGATTTCCCTGCAACCCATTCCCAGAAGTGTCCACCTGATGGCAGTCACAGACTGGCTGCCTGCAGGTCTTAGAGATGCTTGGATTTCCCGCTTCGGGGTTCTGTGACGTCAGTTTTGTCTGAGGAGGTAGGAGGCTCCCGTTCGTGGCCTGATCAACAGCTGTGGATAGGGGACACTTTCGGGTCCCTGGAGGTGGCCTCTTAGGGAGATGCACCAGGACACAGGCGTGACTGGGGACAGATGGGCCCCACAACTTTAAGCTGTTATCTCTCCTTCAGTAAAAAAGTGGCCTCAAGTACAGCGCCTGGACCAGCAGCACTGGGGACGCAAACTCATTTCCGGTCTACTCTGACCTCCTGGGACCTCGGGGAGGGGTCCCCAGCACCCTGTTTCCACACACTCTCCAAGTAGTTCCTGTGCCTGTCCAGGAAGGCTGGGCTGGAAAGACGCAGGCTGCGGGGGTGGATTCCCTGCGACTGGATGAGGAGACAGGGAGCTGAGCCATCCAAACTGGAATCCAAGCCTCTGGATTGAACAGGGTTTAGGAAAGACCATTGTGTCGCCTAAAAGACAAACAAGTGTTGGCTTGGGCTGTGCCCTTGCACTGGGAGTCTGGGAGTGGCTGTGATTCCAGGCAGAGCTAAGCTCTCCATGGCATTCTCTCTGACATGAGCAACAACACTCTCTGTAGTCTTCCTTGAAAATCTCCAAGGCTCAGAAAGAACCATCATTTCACCCCATTTTTTTAAACTGGGGCCTGAAGCTCAAATAATGTTGGTGCTCCATTTAGGACCAACAACGTGACACACGAGCGTGCGAACACACCGCCAGGTCCACTCAGTGTGGCCGGGAGTGCCTCCCTCGGCCTCTCCCTCGGGAAGGGCGTCTCTCCACTCCGCACTCCTCTCCATTTAAACTTGTTCCCGGCAATGACTGACGACACCCGCGAGACAATGCTTAGAAACCAACAAGACAATGCTTAGCTTCCTTTCCTCTCCTCTCCTCTTCCTTTGTCAAATGCGCCGCTGTGGCCTGCACGACTATGTAATTATAGAAATGACCCTGAGGACAGGCAGGGTGCAGACTTCTTGCTTTGTTTTCTGGCTCAGAGGCAAAGTGACCCCCTCCATCAGTCAGGCTCCCAGCATGTGGCCGGGGAGTGACCTCCTCTCAGCCCACATGCTGCCTCCCTCCTGCTTCCTCCAGCTCACTCCTCTGCCGTTGCTCAGGAAGCTGCATCTCTCCTCTCGAAGCCAGCTCCTGTTCCTCCAACACTGAAGGACAAAATGGCCTGGCCGCAGCGCACAGGCACACCCCCACGGCGGCCACGTCCGGCCTCTCCGCGGGAGCAGGCCCTTGTCATTCCGTCACATCTGCTGCCCCTTCCCTGGTGTCCACCCTAGGCGTACCAGTGCACCCCTCACTTCGCAGCCAGCCCTACCTGAGGACAGCAGGCTGCCACTGCTGCCACTGATGATCTTGCCCTTGCTCCCCATGTTGGCCAGCTTGGAGGTCTTCAACGTCCCCGTCTCGGTCAGGTCGATGGCAATCTCACTCAGACTTCGGGCTGCATGAATCTTGGACTGGAAGGAAAAGGCAGGCTGGTTAGGGAGCACACAGGCCTCGCAGAGGGGCCAGAAACCCCTGCCTACTCGAGGACCCCAAAGCAGCAAACTAACCCATTCCGTTCCTGCAGCTGCATCCCTCATCCCAACTACCAGTCACAACTTCCAGGACAGGCAGCATCGCCAGCCAGCTACACAAAGCCCGAAGGGTTCTCAGCCTGGGGTTCGGCAGGCTGCACTGTGCACCGCTTGGACAGCAGCGGGCTTGGGTCTGGCCTTTGGGGAAGTTCCTCAGTCTCACTGAGCCTCCTCTTCCAGGGTGAGCCAGGGAAGACACCGGCTGCCCTGCAGGAGGAGGCGGGGTCAGGGAAGCGAAGCGTTTGCAGGGTGCTCACTGTCTCCCTCCTCTCTCCCCTGTCTTGTTCTCTGCCATTCCTTCTCGCTTGGAACCAGCCAACTGTGGGCTAAAACCGTGAGCCGAAGTGAAGTGTCCTCCTCCCACGTATAAGTGTCGGGCACTGAGTCCCAGCGAAAGTGACTGAGACTCCGGGGCCCCCAGAGCATTTCACCCGCGCTCCGCCTCTATTCTGATGTCTAAATGCACGCTCCAGAGCTGTCTCGCTATTGTCCAAATCCGCGTCACTCGGTCCATGTATTAATTGGCTCCACTGTGACGACAGCCCAGTGGTGAGAATAACCGAAGCGGGCTCTGGGCTCAGTTACATTCCCCAAAGTGACCGCCTGTGACGTCGCTCTGCTTCCATCACCCACGTTCAAAGTGGAGATGTGTGCGCATATCGTACGCGTTTGGGGTTTTGCTCTTTATCTTTTCCTTCACGAAATCAGGTTTTGCTACACAGTGAACATCACAAGAACAGCCGTGAACGATGGTGTAACCCCATGCTTGATCCTCTGCCACCGGTCTGTGGCCCTGAGCTGGAGCAGGCAGGAGGGAACCAGGCGAGGCTCATAGCCCAGGCTTCCAGGGCTCAGCGCCTGGCTCACACCTGGCCTGCACGTGACTGAAGAACAGGCACCAGGGCAGGTCCCAAGGCTGCACGGGGAGGTCAGCCTGCCACAGCCGCCTCGCCCTGACCCACAGTCTCCCCTGTGCCTGGGTGCCAGCCCAGACCTGGTCTCTGTCCAGAAAAGGCTGCCTGGGCCCCCGAGGCCTTGTCCTTCCTCTGGCCTCGATGTTGCTGACCACACTGGTGAATGGTAACAACTTCCTGTCTCTGCTGCTTTCTTCCTGTTACCAAGATGAACGTCTGCCGGCCAGAGACGCCCTGAGGCTCTCTGCTTGCTCGGCTCATTGGTGTGAACCGTCTTTCTTCTCTCCCCCAGTGTTCCTTTTCGATTTGTTTGTCCTCTCTAACCTCAACTTTCTTCTGTGTCCGGAGAGCTCGGCCAACTGGCCAACACCCGTGTCCGTGAAGCCACCCTGGCTGTCGGCCCTGGCGGGCTCTGGCTTTGCGCAGGAGCAGGAGAAGCCTCCTGATCCACTCTGACCAGCCCATCAGCAGCACTCATCCGGCTGTGCTCCATTCTCCCGGTGAGCACAGCGCGCACAGACCATTATGTCCTTTCCTCCTGGCCCGCTCTTCTACTGAAAGGATCCCACACTGAAGCAACCACCGAGCACAACTCCTGAGGGCCTGGCCCGACGCGGCATGCAGTGCAGACCGGATCGCAGTGCTGCCTCTTCTAAGGAAGCTGACTTCTCCGTCCTCAGACTCCAGTTGGACCATGGAGACCTCAGAGCCCACAGCAGAGGCAGCGTGAAGACAGAGTCAGACAAGTAACATCCCGGCTGGGACGACAGCAGTAGGGCAGAAATGAGAACCTGAAGCATCCGCTCGCAGATCAGTCCGACTGGGTGCTTTAGGTTCTCGTTTATCACATGAGAAAAGCTGTCACAGCCCTGCCTCTCCTGCCACACAGCAGTCTTTCAGGGAGAAAACAAAAGCATGGAGCAGGGCCAGCATGGAGCAGGGCCAGCAGGCAGCCCTTCTCGGGGACATGAGCGTCTTCGACGCCTTGGGACTTGCTATCACAGTGACACAACAGTGTGGAGAGCGCTACAGGGAGACCAGCGTGTGGGCTCCTCCCCTCGCAGCCCAGCCTGAGTTCTCAAACTTCCGAATACTTGCTGGCCTTGGGGACTTTGCCTTATAAACATCGCCCAGCTTTGTTAGTGGTATTCTGTGGGAAGGGTTCAGTTTTCCCTACTATGCTAAATCCTTTTGACTCTAAATGAGAAAGAATAGCAGACTGGACAGGAAAAGGAGAACAAGAAAAGACTAACAAGGAGGAAAGATGTTTCATCGTGGGCCAACTGCAAAGGCCTTAATCTGAGTTCTGATGTTTCCTAAGCAATGTCAGTGTTGGAATACTTCCCTCCTGAGCCCACAAGACGCTGCTGGGCTCTGGCTGACACTGCTTCTGATCTTTGGGGTCAGAGAATGGAAGTTACTGAGTAAAACAAGTGCCCACCTAGCTGCTTTCACTGAAGGAGCCCCAGGACCCAGCCGGCACAGCCTTCCCCATCTTGGTGCTCGTGTGAGGACCCGATGGGGAATGGGTGGCGGCAGGGAGAGACGAGCTGGCTGCCGGGAAGCCGGGAAGCGCAGACCACTTGACCTTCCCGGCTGACTCAGCCTCTAGGCCGTACTTGTCTCCCCGGGGCTGGTAAACACCACCAGGGAGGCCTGGGCCTTGCTGAGGCACTTCAGAGAGAGGAACGGCTGGCACAGCCCCACACAGTAGAGTGTGAAACCATGCCAGAGTGCCGGCCCACACGAGTTGTCCAGAAATATGTGCAGCATTTCACCCCAGGCCTGCTGGCCACCCTCGCCCAGAGGCCGCGCCGCCCTCCCAGAACTGCACTCCAGAAATGAAAGGCGGTGTCGTGTTATTTCCTACCAGGGATTTCATCATCTCTGATTTAATTCGGGGACTTCTTAGAGGATTTCACTTGATTCAAGGGTTGGCCAGGGCAGGGTGCGCTAGATTCATGGTGATGGTAATAATAGGACAGCACACAATTTCCTAAAGCAGCTTCACAAACACTGGGTTGTCTGACCAATTACTAATTTAGGTCAGGAATTTCCTTTTCTCTCGTCTAAGTAGGAAAGCAAGGCATGTGTGAGGGAAGGCCCACCCAAGGTCACGGGCTGGAAAACACAGCCTCCAACTTCCTAGCAGGGGCATCGGTCCTCCCCCGCTGGAGGCAGAACGGGTTCCCAGGAGAAATTCAAAGCCTGCACTTCATGAGCATTTGTGAGCCCGCAAAGCTTCTTGTGGAAGACTCTCCCGCCAGGAGGATGGGTATTTTCTTTCGTCTTCCTGGGTCACTGAGAAGGACAGCAGAGATCTTCTGAGAGCGTCTGAAATTGGCTTTATAGGACACATCCTGTTCCTCAGGGCCTGGCAGCATGTCTCTGGGAGGTTCACTTGCAGCACGGGAGGCTGGGGTGGAAGCCGGCTGAGCAAGGCTCTACAAGGGCACGGTAGGGCCGCCTCTGAGGGGCTGGGAAGGGTGCTCGCTCCAGGTAACTGGGACCTTGAGGCAGAAACCAGCACAGCGCAGGGCTTCAAACAGCCAATGGGACGCGTCCGTGGGGGAACTGTGCTATTTCCGGCTCCCTCCCCAGCCTGTGCTATCAGTCTTGGGGGTCTGCCCTGCAGGCGGCCGGCAGTGGGGTTCAGAAATGCCCAGGCTTCCGGACATCACACCCACCAGAGGACGGACTCCATTTCAGGCTGCTGACCTCTGACTCTCGCCACTGCTGGCAGCGCCTGCTGTCTCCCCTCAGCATGAGTCAAAGCCCTGGGGCCCAGTTTCTCTAGATCCAATCAAACTTCAGGTTCCGGCGCCAAGGCCCGTCATCACCAGGGCAGCAAGGAACGCGTTCACAGTTCCCACCACAGAAATGCTGCCCCTCACCGGGTCAGCCAGAGAACACCCAGAAAGGGGCCAGGAAGGAGACTGAGGAAAGGAGGCCAACGCTCGCCAAAGGGGAGAGTGGTGCCGCAGGGACAGCCCTGGTTAAAGCTGGGGCTGGACTGGAGGGGTGGCTTCCTGTCTGCCTGTCTTCTCCTCCCTCCCACGTGACCAGGGAGGAACTGCACGCAGAAGGGAAATAAGGCCAGAGGGAAAGAGCTCACAGGGCTGGTGAGTGCCTCCTCCTGCCCAGAGCTGGCAGCCAGCTGGAGAGGGCCTCTCAGGGCGCCGGGGAGCCCCTGGCCCAGTCCTGCAGCACACAGGATGGGCCCACCCTGGCGGAGCCCACACCTGGGCAGGAGGAGTGGGAGTGGCCTGGGGGTGAGGGGGCGGGGTGTGGACAGAAGCGCGAGAAACAGCGGCCATCATTCTTCCGCCCACCAGAGTGCAGCATCTGGGCTGGGGGTGAGCGAGCCTAGGTCTCAGGGAAACAGGGCTGCTGCTCTTGTATTTTTCACTTTTCCAGTTTTGCATTTTTACAAATGAGGTTGGCAGTTAGAAAAGCCTGCAGGGTTTTCGAAGCAATTACCCTAAACAGTTAGGTGTGTCTATTAGTGGAGAAGAGTTACTGTGTTTTTTCCAAAAAGAAAACATTATGCCACTATTTAACCCCCAGAGGGCTGGGCTGCTTGCTCCTTGCAGTGTCCTTGCTCCCCAGCACGCTCGGCCCCTCTGCAGTGCGGAGGCCCCTGACGAGTGCAGGAATTCGCCCCGTCAAGACCGTCTGTTCTTCCCACAGTGGCCCAAAGAGGCAAGTCTGCACCTGCGTGGGGCTGCGGCCAAGCACAGGTCTTCCACCCATCACTCCCAGCCCTGAACTCCTGCCCTGAGGCCGGCGCCCAGCGGGAAGGCTGCTCCTTACCTTGCTCTGCTTTCGGTCCAGATAGAACTGGTGCTGGCTGATAGCCATGGCCCAGATGGACTTGATCAGTGCTGCGCACGCGTACCACGTGTGCACTGCGATGCCGCTGTGCCCGAATGTCCTCCTCGTGACCGAAGCCCTGGGGAGGCAGAGATCGTTTATGAGCGGAAAACCTCTTACCAGTCAACAGCTTTCAGGGAGAAGCCATGGTCCACTACCTGATGTGAAGGTGACGGATGTGCTCACACACAGGGCACACGCACACGTGTGCATGTGGAGAAGCTGACTCCCCTCAGCCTCAGAACTGGGCTAAACCTCTGCGTGGAAGGGGGTCATTCTGGGCTGCTGGGTGGCCCTTTCCCGCCTTCAGCTCCTGGAACAGAGCCAAGACAAAGCTCGGAGGCTGGAAAAGCCTTCAGCAACGAACTCAGCAGTGCCATCTACGTGAAGATGAGCACATTCTTGGCCCAATCAGTCTGGTTATCAATTTCAGATACGTTCAGACAGCAGAGAGGCAGGGAGAAGGGGCCGGCGGGCCCGCCCAAGCTCCACGGAAACACAGGTGAGCCTAGGAGAATGGAAGCCTTAATCACTGTCATTCACACATTAATGGAGCTCGGGGGAAGAGTTACGCGGTTTTGTCCTCGGTGAAGTACATTTTATAGGAGAGGCACATTAAATGTGAGAACAAATGAGATCTGAGAACATGTGTTTGCTTGTGTATGGGTCTGGGGAATCTGACCTGTGCATCAGAAGGAAAACGTGTGTTCTGAAGATTAAGATATCTAACTCGGAAGAAATGTGGGGTTATCAGGACTTGTGATTAGCAGCATGTTTTTCACAGCCTATTTTTCCTTGATAAAAATTTAAAGCCACTCCTCTCATCTTAAAAGATTGCACAGTAGGTCTTATACCCACTTGTAAGGAGAATTCAAATCTGGTGGTTAGAAACCTGATCCTAGGCAGGCTTTTCCTCCCTTTGGTTCAAACTAAAGGGAAAAATGCCAGCGCGTGCGAGAGCACACAGCTGAAAATAACTGAAAAGCAGGCAGCTGGGGGAGTGAGGGGGCCCCACCGAAAGAAACCAAGATGGCCTCTCGGTCCGGCTTCCAGGACAGTCGCTCCCCCTGGAGGACAAGTCCCCTGTCGCCCCCCCCCCAAAAGCTGGAGCAGAGAAGAAACTCAGTGTCTGTTTGCATGGGCTGAGCCTGGGCTGCTGTCTTTCAGGTAAGGCGAGCTTGCGAGTTAGGTGACTCATCCCTCAGGCCTGAGAAGGGACTACTTCCCTGAGAGCACCGCCCGGCCTTTCTCCAGGCCCCTCATTAGTTTATCTCCTCCACTCATCTCCGCTCCAGGCCCTGCCCATCCCAGACTCTGCTACTGTGTCTGAGCCCGGGAAGGACGACAGTGTCGGCCAGATCTACAGAGCAGAACACGGCGCATGGAGCTGGGTTGTACAGCAGGTCGGCGGGCACTGCCTGTCCCGTGTCCCTTGCGGGGACAGCAGGGAAAGGCTGGGATCTCGCCTGTTGTGATCCCCTTGTCCCTGAGCGCTGTGCCTGCCACCACGGCTTCCCACCAAGGTCGCTGCTGTTGCCAGAGTGCAGCTGGCCGTCCCTCCTTGAGGAGGTGACTCGAGTCAGAGGGCCTGGCGGGCTGGCTCTGCCCCGAGCGCTGACGAAAGCAGTCACTTCCCCTGGCAGCTTGGAAGGTGTCTCCAGTGGCAGTCAATGTGGCCTTCCACCTCTGACCTCCCAGGGGCCCTCTCCTTGCCCTGCCCTCCTCAGGACAACACAGTGCCTCAGTGCCCCTCTCCAGAGGGCAGCTGGCCCTACCCTCGTGCGGGCTCCCCCGCTTTCCTGGCTGTCGCAGGTAAGGAGCACCCACCCCTCTGATGTCCTGAGCTCCAAGTGCCCGAGGTACCATCTGAGTGTCAGTTCAGATGGCTCTGCCTGGGAGCCCTCTCCCGCCCAGCCAGGCTTGGGTGTCTACATCAGTCTGTGCCCTTGGGCAGCAGGTACACCCTACAGCTGCTAGGAAGACACCTCCTACGCCCTCCCTGTACCCAGGGAGGCGGGGCAGTGTGTGAGCTCTGGCCTCAGGCTTCCTGGCTTCCAGTCCTGCCAGGAACAGGTCCCTTCCCTCCTGTGCCTCGGTTTCCCACATGTAGCACAGGAATGACCCCGTTCACTGCGTCACATGGAGGACCTGGTGGGAGGACAAGTTTAGAACAGCGACTACACGGGCACTCTCAGGGCGAGGGCCTCCTGCTGCTGGTCTCCCCAGCTCTGCCAGAAGTACCATAAGGAAGACGACCCCACCCCAATCTCCCTTCTAGACCCTGTCCCATCTGCCACGTATGGGACCCACAAGGCTCTCAACACCGACACAAATGAGCCGTTCGGCATATGCTAAAAGCCCACTGAGAGTAACTCGAGGTTTGGACTCTTTTCAACATCTCTAGATGTTGGGAAAGGAAGGGAATTCAGTTCTGCATTACCAACAGGATGACGGATGGAGAGAGAACACGCACACACTCAGGCACACACGTGCCATACTCACGGGAGGGAGCAGAGCTCCCAACGCACCGCAGGCATGGTCTGTCATCCCATGCCCTGCCCCTGACAGTCCAGTTCTATTGAGGTTTTGCTGTCAGGTGGCCCCTTCGGCACCTATCCACTGTGGCGGAATTCCTTTCACCCTTTTTACGTGGGAGTTTCTCCTCCTCCCATCTGCCTAAGACTCTCGTCCCAGAGTTCACCTGGAAAAGTAACAGTGGCTTCTTGGCTGGGCAGCTGTCTCTGGCATCCAGGTCTCCCAAGTGCTCTGCAGAGGGTCTGGGCTGTGAAACCCACCAGGGACCAGGGCTGGTGACCCTTCCGCTGAGTGTTACCCTCTGTGCCTGACTCACAGACACAACTATGAGCACCAGGACGGGCTGCGTCTGCATCGTGAAGATTACAGGGCACAGGGAAGCGAGGCCTCTGCTCAGGGTTATCTCATGCTGCACGGAGGGCGGCTACTGCACAAGCCTCAGCTGCTCTGGGTTCAGAGCTCCAGGAGGTGCCAGCCGCCTCTGCTCAGAAGCCGGTTGGTGCCAGCTCTCCTCCAAAGCCCCGAAGGGTGTCAGTAGCACCTAATTCCACCCTGCTCTTACCCGCTGGTCTTTCACTGCCTTCTCAGTCTGCTCTCAGGCCTAAGGCAAGTGACCCTGTTAGGGGTCAGGCCGGGCTCAGGGAAAAGTGCTGAGCTTCAGGCTGAGACAGACAGGGAGGAGGCAGAGGCCAGGGGCTGCAGACCCCTCCATGCTGCCAGTGGACCCACTGTCCCTTAGGATGTGGCTTTCCACCCTGTGCTCTCTGAGGTACAGGGCCAGTGGAGGGGAAACTGTATCTCTTTGCATTCACTTACAATGCTAACATCCTGAGATCCCAGCTCCGAGGGTGGAACAACCAGACACACTGCTTTGGTGACATATTCTTTCCAGTGTGACTGTCCTGCCTGGGTCTTTCAGGAGTGTTGACAAGGAAGCTTTCAGCCATTTCTATGTGAAAACTTCCCAGAGGCACTTAGGCCACTGCCCAGTTTACCTTGGCATTTTTACACGGTGCCGTCAACAAGGTTTTCCTCCAGTGCCCCAGGGTGTGCACAAACACACACACAGTGGGACTCATGGCCCGCACTAACACACGTACACAAAACCAAGCTCCACTGTCTGATCTGAACTCTTTCCCACGATTCTCCATCCTCGCCCTTACCCCAAACCCAACCTGAACTAGGTCAGCACAAACACCGGATTTGATTAATACGCCAGGAAAAGACCCCTCACTCACCTGCGGGGGTCATGAACTTCCACGGAGAACTTCTTTTCTCTGAAATACAGGTTTTCCAGCTGCCTCCATTGGAATATCTGGACAGAAAACAGTGCAGTTTAAACTCAGGAGAGCTGGCTCTGCGCTTGTTCCTGGTTAACTTTCACCAGCTGGCAGTTTGCTTATCAGAGCGGACTGTACAGTAGTTCGCGCCTCCTTGTTTTGTGCTGAAACACTCTCACACTCGCAGCAGAGCGGCCCCCGGCTCAACTCCAGGCCCGTGGGTGTGGGTTTTCCTGCAGGTTCCTTCACCGAGCAGAACAAGCTCCTCCCCGCGCTCTCCCTCGGTGCGGGGTCCCGCGACAGTTCCCAGCTCGGCCGACTTTTCCCTCCGGGAGGGGGAGGGGGCAGCGCCGAGCGGGAGCTCAGAGGCGGCGGTGGCCGCGCTTCCTCCCCTCCAGCGCTGGACTGGGAAGGCGGTCGGATTCCCAGCCTCCCAGCGGACTCCACTTCCTGCCGCTAATGTGCAAGCCCTGCAGCTGGAGGGCGGAGGCCGCCAGACCGAGGGGGGGCGGCAGCTCGGGATCTCAGGGCGAGCCGGCCGGAGGGAAGCCAGCGCCCCGACGGGAGGACGGGGACCCCTCAGCTGAGAATCTGACTGCGCCCCTGGGAAACCGGCGCGCACCCCGCTGCTGCAGGGATGGGCTCCTTTCGTTGCGTGAAAGCGAACCCAGCGCGGGAGGATAGAGTTATGCGCCCGTGTGGTTGTGTTTAACCGGACGGATCCTGTACCCGTCCCCTACTCTGGATGTGGGTTCATTCTGCTGAAATAAGGCAGAGCAGGATTCTTCTTCTGCCCGGGGATCCCCTTCTCTGCCCCGCTGGGTTGCTGAAAATGCTCTTCGGAGCCTCCTGCTGCCTCTGACCTGCCTGTGTGCCCCCCCCCAAGACGCGAGGCTCAGTCCCCTGTCCTCCTTCCGACCCCAAGCCCAGGGAGGCGGGTGGGTCTGTTGCCCAAGTGAAACTGGGCTGGAATAAGGACCGGTTTCCAGAAGGGCTGCGTTCTTTTACCTCCCCAGCCTCCTCACTGGAATCCGCTAAGTAACAGGAACGAGGGCACCTACTGCCTCTTGTACACAGCTGTTTTTCCGACCTCAGCTCCGAGAACATTTCACCGAAGCTCAGGGAAACAGGGTTTCTTTTTCAAGTTCAAGGACAGCCTCTGAGCTAAAGCCGGGCGTGGGTGCAATCAACGTTCTGTCCGGGCCACCGCTGCCTCTCAGGACCTTTGTTACTGCAATGCCTCACTCTGTAACTGAGGCTCAGGCTTCCGTGGAGGGGTGCTCCGCTACTTTGCATCTCGGTGAAAACATCCAAGTCCTTCTGCTTCCGTGCCTCAGCTATTTATGGATTTCACCTGAACTTCACTGCCACAAAACACCAGATCCCACAGCTTCCACCACTCATAACCTGCAGGTGGGGCACATAGAGGCACTGAGGTCTGGGGACCGACTGCACCTGTCTGAATCCAGGCTCCCCGGGCCTTAGGTAAGCGCAGCATGCCCTTGGCCTCGGTTTCCCCATCTATAGAAGGGCAGTAGGGGCGCCTCAAGGTAGAGCGTGGCGGTAGCAGATCCTTCAGGTAGCGCTGGCCCAAAGCAAGCACTGAACAAATCAGATCTTCCTAGGGTTCCTCACTGTTTTGCTCCCAGATCTTGGCCAATAGAAGAGAGTAACTGTAGGCAGCCAGAATAATTTTTAAATTTCCTAACAGAGTTTAGAAAAACATTATTTGTATGCTGGAAACATCTGAGTAATTATAAAGGTCTACCCTCCTTGCCCCCCCCACCAGGCAAGGTGGGGGGTGCTGGGCGTGGGGTCTTAAATTCCCGACACGGTTTCATCAAGGGCCCAACACTGCCACAACAGTGAGTCCTGGTGTGGTGCTGGCTGGGCTCTGAGGTCTGGAAAAGGGGCCACTCCGTCTGACCGACAGATCCAGGCAGGTTGGTCTCTCCAGCCCCTCAAAGGAGGGAAGGGAACCCAGCTGGGGTGAGCCTGTGTGAGGAAACCCCTCTTGTGCCTTTGATTTGAAGCCCTTGCTCTGCCTGACAAAGAACCACTTAGCACAAGGCCTAAGGCTCAGAGGCCGGTTCCTTGGCAACTCCCACTCCCTCCCTCCTCTGAAAGGAAACACACAGCAAGCCTTTGCTCTAAGTGGTCCCCATGCTGCCTCTTGTGGAGGGCCCGTGTCTGCCAAAGGGCTGAAACAACCACCTGGAGCTGCGGGCCCTGGGAAGGCTCCTGCCTCTGGCTGCTGCTCTGCACAGTGAACTCTGGAGCCCGGGCTCCGAGATGATGTCCCGTCTGTATGGGATGCAGAACAATGGCTTCCCCTCAAAGTCTGCTCTGAGCACAAATTTTGTTGGTTTTTATTTTCACCTGAAACGCTGAGAAGGGAAAGTAGGAGCCAGGCGAACGAGCGGGTGGTTCTCCAGGACTGGACTGCTGCACAGACAGAAGGACGTGCACACGGGACACTCGCCAATGACCCTGACCTCCGCCCTGAGCAGGAGGGTGGGAGGGGGCTGGGGCTGGTGCCCCGGGAGGGGAACTGTGAAGGCGGTGAGGGCAGAGCCAGCAGGAGCCGCTGTGGTGGGCTGCCAGGGCCGTGCCTTGCTGTACCGGCACTGCGCTGCCTTCATGGGGCCTGGGCCATTTCCGCCCCTGCACCCCACGCCTCACAGTGCAGGGCCCCTGAACACTGCCAAGGCCGGCAGATCAGAAACCATAAGCAAACAACAAACAAAGATGGCGATCTTGCCTTCCTCCCCCACCAGGAAGAGCTGTGCTCTGCCTGCCTCTGTGCGCATGGGTCTCTGGGACCACTGTCTGGGCGGCCCCCAAATCCCTGCCACCGCGGAAGGAAAGGCATCTCCGTGCTCTGGGACTCCACACACTCCCCAGGGCCATCGCAGGACCTGGCCAGCTCCCTCAGAACTCTGTGTAATTCCTGTGGGCCACATAGGCCCAAGGAGCTAATTAAAGGCTCAGCTATGTAGTCCCATCAATAATCAAAGGATTTATTAATTAATACCCCTTATACCACCATCTCGGCATCTTTAAGAAGCTCTGCAAACACTGCCTCTTTGATCATCTCACACCCTTCACAAAGGAGGAGTGCGAAATTTTCCTGGGAAAGCGAGACCCAGAGAAATGAGGGGAAACCGCCTCGGGCCACACAACAAGATAGTGAAAGAACCAGAAATAGAAGTCAGGGGCACCCGGCCCATTACTCCAACCTCGAACTATGCTGCTCTCCCCCACGAGTGCACCAATTAGTGGGAGCAGCTCTTCCTCACTAATGGGCGGTTAACTTTACAAGCGAATGATTTCACAAATGAGCACTAATGTGACTCGGTAGAAGTGGAAAACCAAAGCGTTTTAGCCCTCCACAATGGCTCTGCTTTCTTTTTAGACTGTGAATGACAATAAGAACTTCTTTCTTTTCTCTTTCTAGCTGGAGTTTCCTACACGGTCATCACCTCAGTACTCAGTAGCTTTGGTCAAGGACTGAGAAACAAAAATAATTCAGGGAAGAACAGTTGAGCAGGGCTGAGCAGTGCACACACGCCTGGAACCCCAGCTACTCTGGAGGCTGAGGCAGGAGATTACAAGTTTGAGCTCAGGTTGGGCAACCTGGAGAGAACCTGTCTCAAAATAAAAAGGGCTGGAGAGGGATTACGGCAGCAGGCACTTGCCTGGCATGTGTGGGATCCTAGGTGCTATCCCAAGTGTTCCAAAGAAAAGGACAAAAACAAAGCAACACAACCACACCAACAAAGCAGTGTGATGTGAGTTTGTACAGGAAATAAAAACTTAGGGGAAGCTGTCAGGACGTGGTTCCACGGAGATGGGGTCCAAGGCTGGGACCCTCGCTGATCCCAGAAACGGGTTCTTAATTTCTGAACAGCGGTGATGATTCCCGAGGTGGTGCCTCGTCCTCCGTTCTCCCACTCCGGTGCTCAGCATCCCCAGATATAAAACAGAAGTGTAGCTAAGGAGCGCTGCCTCTGAGCGCTCACTGTGACCCCCAATGAGCAGGGCCCAGGGCTGGCTCCTATTCTCTTGTCCACTGGACTCCGCTTCCTGTGCAGAGCTTGAGCTGGAGCATAGCAGGGGCCCTGGCTCTGCTGCACTTCCTCTCCAGTCAGGGCTTACTGAGCGCAGAGGCCAGTGGAGTGGTGGGCGATCTCACAAGATGATCCAGAAATAAAGGCTGAGAGGAAGCTTGGTCTGGCGGCTCTCATTCCTGACCAGGACTTCAGAGTCTGTCTTCCTCCAGTCCCTCACCCTGAGTCACCAAGCTTCTTAATGACCTCCTATTAGCAACTTCCTGCTTCATCCAGAGGGGCCATTATTCAGATTCCGGGCAGCCATCTGGTCCACCTCCTCCTTTCACAGACAGAGCAGCCCAGTGGACAGGGGTTGAAAGGGCCTGGCAGAGGCTGGGTGAGTAACTACTGTTGGGACCCACAGCTTGTACTTCTTGCCCTAGCCTCTTCTTACCACACCACAGAGCTCTGCAACGAATGGACACAAAGGAGCTGCACGCTCCAGCTTCTTCACGGGCCTGGCTCTGGCAGGCTAAGTGATGCTGAGCGTCTCTGACACCAGCAGGCAGTTCTCAGTAGGAATTAGACTCTTGGACAAAAAAGATCTCCACACTCAGAACGAAACACGCACAGTGATAATTCAGTTCCTTATTTCATTTCTGCTCTTTGCATTTTCTAGGAACAGACTGAATCTCTAAGTTATTTACACACTCAACAAATAAAAAGGAGTCGCTACCCATGTGCAGGACGAAAGGAGGAAGTGGCTGACCCCAGCATGGCTGGAGTCTACTCTGTGAGGAGCCAAGAAAACTCCACGCCTGTGCCCTCCCCCGCCTGTGCTCTCAGGGGAGCTCATCACGTGCGCCCCGTGAAGCTCCGCTGTGGTTGGCACAGCAGATGCAGGTGCAAAAGCAGGTGAGGCACTGGGTGACACCACCGACCTTTTCCTATCTGCACTAAGCTGTTCGATATGTTTCACTTTA